ACTGTGCCCTAAGCACAGTCAAAGATCCCTTCTATCACAGCTCATGCGAGCTAATTCTCGAAGCACCTAAGATAGATATCGTGATTCTGGCTGGCAAGCTAAACGCTCGTGTTGGCCGTCTGTCGCCCGACGGGGCCTATTTCCCTCTGACGTACGACACTACCATGGCCAACAAGCGAGCGGCCCTCTGCATGCGGTGATAATGCGGAAAATGGNACTTTTCTCCTTTCAAGAAGCACATTTATCAGAAGTGGAACAGATGGGGTCACAAGAAGCAACGCTACAGGTCAACGGGACCTACTCAGAACGGACAACAGAGTACGATTCACTGGAAGTTCAACGAACCATTCTCAGAATCATGCCTAATTTTTGCGGCTTTTAAAACAGATAGCCAGCCAAAGAGAAATTCGCTCGATGTGCTCATCCGTAGCAAACCAGCAAAACTGCAGTTGGACACAGCCTCGGAATTCTACGGAGGCACATAGAAACCCTTCGAGAGGCCAGAAATGGTTCCATCTAAGAAAGAGTGGGAAAATGCGTCAGGAGTTGAACTCAAATTGAAATGTTGGGAAAACCAACAGTGACATTTATTTCAGAGACAATTTCACTAATGGAACCTGTTATATAACCAATCGACCCAACCTAAATCTCCTTGGTTTGGATTTGATCGAACAGTTCAAATTGTTTGATGTTCTCGTGAACGAGGTATGGCATCAAGTCCGAATACAGAACACCCATTTATCCTCAATGGCACACATGATATAATCACTGAGGTATAAATTTACACAAAGTTTCGTGCCTCGCTTTCCCTGAAACCAGATTTGAAGCCAGTGTTCACATCAAAACGCCCGGTAATCTTCACCACCATCGCCTCATTCAACGTGATGCCACACAAGTTGCAATAATCAAACCGGTTAATTCCTCATCATAGGCAGCTCCGATTGTGGTCGACAAGAAAGCCAGCTAATGACAGTGCGCATTTATGCCATTCTTGCAAACGGTTTGAACACCTTACATCTAGTATATCAATATCCCATACCGATACCAGAAGGTATCTTCGCTAGGCTGAATGTTTATACTTATTTCACAAAACTTGACTTACCGCATACATATAACCATGAGAAGTTTGCGAATGACTTGAAGCAGCTACTGACGACAAACATTCGTCGCTGCTTGTTCCCACGAAATCTTTCAGTATCGTCCACTATCAAATATGCAGTAGCATTTTTATCGGTATCACGGGCACTACAGCCCACGTGGGTTCTTTCTTTAGCATTTTTACTTCCTTTCATGTAATACATAATTATACAATTTCCAGGTAGATGGAAGCGGAAAAATCAAATGGCTGCCATAGAACACACAAAAGTGACAGACAAGCGGTAGTGGTGGGATTGGAACACACCTCCGGGGTGATAATTGGTGAGGTCACCATCGGGCCACCAGCGCCCCCTTATGTGATCATCGTGATGGATCGAACAAAAAGAACGTTTTCGCGACTATACGCAATACTGAAGCGTAAATAACATTACGATCGGGAATCCGGGGAGATAAGTGTGACTTGTTCTTGCCCTCTATTAAGGATCCCACTTTAATCCCGGGTACATTGAAGCTATTCAGAATGTCAGCTCCAAAGGATTTGGCTACACTCAGATAATTTTGGAGGCTCTTAATTAACGAGAGTGCGTTTCGTCTCGGTATGCATCGCTTGCTTGATGTCATCGTGACAGTCGATGCTTGCCACAGTGGCGCTGGCGCATTCATCTCTCAAAAATTTCCGCAAGGATTACTGAGGGCCAGTCCACATGACGCTTGATGGTTACATGCGACGGAACGCAACTACAGTGAGATTGATAAGGAAGCCATGGCTATCATCTTCGCCGCGAACAAGTTTCATCAGATGCTCCACACTCGAAACTTCGCAATTGTCACCAGTCACAATCGATAGCGCTCACATATCAGCTCCAGAAAGGGTGTTATAATCTATAACGATTACAGCCTTCGTTCTCAGCTACCATTTGGATAACCACCGTCAGTTCACTACAGTTTCGATCAAGCACATGCGCTTTGATGGCTCATCAACTCTCAGAGACTACAGCCCGAAGAAATCATCATTGCTTCGATGTCCCTGGAACCTGACATCAAATTAGCGATCGTCTGCACAATGCGCCAGTGACAGCTGAAGACGTTCGGAGGACCCATCGCTCGAGAAGGTCAGACAATTTCTTCCGCATTTGTTGAACAAAATCCTGCCACTCCGAACGATGGCTTCAATTCTTCCAACGGAAAGGCTCATCGTCCATTGTGAACGGTTGTATTCTGTTCGCTTAAATTATCGTGATTGCAAAGATACAAGAGAACAGAATGCTGCACAAACTCAACAACGGACACTCGGGAATCAACGCCGTGAAATCACTCTTCTCTATTTATGTCTATTGGCCCCTTATCCACATACAAATAAAAGTATTCCTCCAAAGCTACCTTCAAGTGACCATTCCAGATATCAAAATGGGATGGAGAAAACGCAAAATTTTCTGTGCACTCCGAATCCTGACTGACCAAACGGAGGTTTCCAGCCGAAGCCTTAACTAACAAGAAGATACGAATGTCGTTCTATCTGTCGTGCTCAGATAAAATCAAGAACTACAGGACTCGGAAAACGAAGAAGCAAATCGACTGGCGACACGGAATCGTGCAATTTCCTCTCACATCAGGTGAATCAGTGTTGGTTTGAGATCATGAAAACGGCGGTTTCCGCTGAGTGAGAGGCAGAATCCGACGACGATAAGGTGGTACACTCCCAGTCCAAAATCTGCTTGCGTTCCGTTAATCAAGCA